TTTTCAGCTATCTTTCTGATCGTTGCAGCTATTCTAATTAAATTCTCTGTTTCTTCTATCCTTTAGCTAATCTAACCTTTTCATGTTTCTTTTAGCTGTTTTTACAATTTTGCTATTGTTAGCTATTTTCGGCTAATTTTAGCTTTTCAGCTAAATTCACCTGTTTGTAACAAGTTCAGCTACTTCTTTCAGCTGGTTAGTTCAGCAAACGTCCTCTTTTAAAAATAATTTTTCCTAAATTCAACTTTTTCAGCTCCTTTTTAGCTACTTTTCTGCTAATTTCAACTTTTTTGGCACTTTTGCAACAAATTGCAAAATTATTGTACATCTTTTCTTTATTTCCTGCCAAAATCTTTCAGCATTAAGCATTCACACTGCATTTTTGCAGGAAGTGCAACGTTTTTAATTAAATTGGAGGCAATTACAAACCTAAAATAATAAATAATCTGATCTTAGAAAAGAAAAATGAGTCGGTTGTGTTTGACAAACAACAAATTTAGTCACGCAGATAAATTTTGCTCCTGCCCTCAGGATGTGGGATGCTTGAAGTGAATTTAGCCAACTGTTCAATGAATGTAATTGTCTTCTGAAGCCTCCTTCGGCTCAATAAAACAAGAACAGTGTGGGCATTGATGGAGTATTTTTAAAGGTTTGCTCTCCCACTATCTCTGTATCATCATGACTCATCACCTGAGAGCTCATCTCCTCCAGAAGCAGCTGTCCTCTTCCATTTTCATCTTCTTACTTCTCAAACCAAACTTCTCCTGTCACGTCACCCTTTGCTCTCATCTGATTTATTTTGTATATATTTAAAATGTTTATTCTCATGAAAAGAATTCTTGTTGCGTTATTTGTAAAAAGACGTGACTGAGGTTTAGTCGAACCGAAGCGGAACACGCTGATGAAAAATTAATGCAGGATATTTTTAATTCTTTAATAGGCTGCTCATGTCAAGACGAATTAAATAATTAATACGAGGAACGTTTTCTCATAAATAATGAATCATGTTATGAGGTTATCTCCTTGTGTTTTTTTTATTTCATTTATTGATCATGAATTATTGCTGAGTCATGTTAGGGCTGAGCCTAAAATAACTCATGTCCTTTTATTTACTGCACAAAGACAGCTAAAAGTACAGAACTTCATCACCTGTTTTAAAGTAAAGCATTTTATCTTGTATGTGTGTGTGTGTGTGTGTGTGTGTGTGTGTGTGTGTGTGTGTGTGTGTGTGTGTGTGTGTGTGTG